AATACTGATTATTCATATGATATTTACACGCGTCGGAGCGCATTTAAAATCCTTCAACATAGTGCCCGAAGCACTCACTCATAGAAAGGACGAGTGTAAATCACGGTAACTTAAGGTAGAGCTTAAGGTAGAAAGTACTACTAAAAATTAATATAGGTAGCCTCCAGTAACTAACAATAAGTAAGATTATGCTCGTTGGTCGGATTCCCCATTCGCTTGAATTGTCGCGGAGAGACATTTACTTCGAGAAGAGTATACTCGCTGAAAAATCGACTGACATAGGTTCATGTCATAGCAACGGATTGCATGATTTTTTTAGAATTTGCTCCAGAATGACTAGTAAGTTGCCTCAAAGGTAGCTTTCTATAGAGTTCCCAGTGCAGTTGAGCTATGTTACTTATAGTTGTTGACACGCCCAGTAGTAGTAGTAGTTAGTAAACTTGGCTTGGAACGTTAGGAGTTGCCACCATTTGGTTTGTAAGGTTACAACGTCAGCTCTGTTGGATTTGTTAGAATGGTTTTCTTGACAGGTCACATGTTTCAGCAACACTGACACATACATTGGATATTTGCCGCTCGCACACATTCTCGAATTGGATGCGGAACTTACGTCGCTTTGTTATGGATGCAAGGTATTGCTCTTTCACTTGTATTCCCTTTTAGCACTTACTTTTCTTTTTCTTTAAAATTTTTGAGGGAGTAATTTAAAATGCTGTACCGCTCTAAAGTATTCGGTCAAACGGCTTGCTGCCCATATACTCTTGTACGTTGCGGATGAAAGGGGGTGTCAGGGTGGGTGTGCCACGGCCAAACCCGTTCTCTGCCAGTTGTTGGAGCGGTTATGCGACGCAGGTAGTATTAGTTGGTCGAAAAAAGTCCTGCGACACTTTGTTGAACTATTCTAGAAAAAGACCAAAAATCATTTTGAATGTTTTTATCTCTGATTAGTGGAGACTGTCTCCTGAGGTTTCTGAAAATGGGTATATCATGGCTCCGTGGAAGTTTTCAAAGCTTAAAAATACCTCAGAGATTGAGGTACTTCTCGACCTATCCCATATTATGAGTTCCTGTAGGGCAACTCCGCCATAGTCGAGGAAGCTAACACTTACGTTGTCTTGAGGAAGGATATCGCTCGCCATAGCAGAGAGTTCCTTTTGCATCAGCGCTTCCAGGCTGGACTTATTCAACTCGGAAGTAGGCAATGTATAGGTCGGCCACCAGCACAGAATGACGACCCTTTACTCAAGCTTCTTGAGGCGCAGCCGAACGTAACCACCAGTAAGTTGGCAACCTCTCTGGGCTCCACCTAACTGACAACTGCCATGCTTCTCCGCAGTCTCGGTTATCGGAAAATTTTTTATGAAGGATGCCTCATGAGTTGAACCCCTCTGACAAGTCATACCGAATGACCGTGACTGAGTTTTTTTTCCTTGTACACACTGGAGGAACATTTGTGAGATCTTGTGGTTGGTAGAGAGTGGTGGGGTCCTTGCGTACATCTTGCACATGTTCCTCGCAGGATCTCTCAGAGAGAAAAGTAGATTGCACAGCCAAAAGCAGATGTGCATGGGATAAAGATTTCAGTAGGTTATTGGTGGGACTTCAAAGCGGTATCTCTGGATACTAGCATAACGGTAAGGACTACAGTCCACTCTAACCAACCTCACAACATGGATGACGTCACGCTTGAATTCTTCAAAAATACTCAATTTTTCTCTACCGCTCGGCAATGCGAAGACCGCATGTTAGGATCAGGCCACACCAAAAGATCGTGGATCTTGATCTGAGAATGCGACCATACCCAGCTTATTCATCAAAGTTAGCAGTCTCTAAATACTACCTTTTTTGATCCCTACCGCATTCTTAAGAAGGCAAAATTTCCGAAAATCGCCGTCTACTCAAAAGTGAGGTCCACCTCTTCTTCTTATCATAGTTGCCGTAGTTCCTATAAGAATGGAAATGAGAAGCTGTGCAAAAGAAGGGGGTCCTAGTCCTTAGTGGTGATTACCTTGTAGATTGGAGATGTCTTTTAGTGACTGAAAATTTAGTCCGAAAAATTGGTCAAAGTGTCGCAGGACTTTTCGACCAACCTAATAGAAAACGAGTGATAACGAATTGCATGATACAGCCTTTTCTCTTGCTCGCTTCAACAGCTAGTTGAGAACGGGTATTTTGCCCCGCTGCGCTATAACTCATCCGCTTGACACGTCCCTTCGTTCCAGCGAATTAGGCTTTGACCATCCCACTAGGGGTAGCTGTCTAAGTTCAGTAATAATGGCGCATTTGATGTGATTGTAATTGCTAACAAGTGACTGATTTTCCAGATTGGCTACTCAAGTCCATTAACGTTGCATGATCGTGCAAGTAAAATCAAAGCGGGTACTCATGGTGACTGCTATGCCCTCCAACCAACACTCATGGCTGCTGTACCAGTTAGTTTACTTGGAGAGCAGTTTTTTCTTCCATAATTACCCATTTTCGAATTGATAATAAATTGTTTAGGCTATCATGGACCGGATATTCAAAGCCGTATCTGAAGAAGTTGCTGCGAGTCCAAGGATTATGCAGGAATTGTTCAAGCTCAACTACGAACGTAAACGAGCTCGATACCAAGAAGGGTACTGCAGTCCATTCCTTGATAGGTGAGCTTTTTCACAAATTCAGGAATTTCTTTGATACTACAGACACTATTTTCTTCCTCCGTATTTTTTATAATGGGAATTTCCGCAAATTTTCATATGATTACGGTTTAGTTACTTTATGTAGGTGTGTGTGTGGGGTGACGGTCTGAGTGCACCTCTGCCGCTCGGGATCCAGATTGGAGTGAAAGTTGGCAGAGGTTGTCTCGTCTAGGGTAAGCTACAAACATAATGCATAATGCATCCACTGGCATCGTATTTGCGCTGGGAAGCATTTGAGGAGGAGTTTGATCAGCAGTAGTCATTTGTCCTTTTTTGAGAGCAGTGGCCACGATGGCTGGGGCGTACTGTTACCGCCAACGTAATTGGTCCGCGGACTGAGGTGAGGTGTGCCTAAACGCTCTCTCGCAGTCCTTCCAGCAATGACATGGCAGCAACCGTCCGCCCTCAGCCGTCGGCTCTTTGAGTTTGAGAAGATGTATAGAAATGGTACTAGAAGTGCTATGAAGGCTTCATCTGTACTGATAAATTTGCAGGATTATATTCAAGAAAATTCGCAGACTATTGGGTGGACAGTTGAGAGGTGTGCTTTCTGGCGGTGCACCTTTGAACGCCGAGACTCAAAGGTTTATGAATATATGTATGTGCTGTCCTGTCGTTCAGGTACACTGCATAATCTCTTTGCATTTGCACGAGTTTGCATTTATTGCGTATCATCTTAGGGCTACGGTTTAACTGAGACATGTGGAGCAGCATGTGTTGCCGATATCAATGATCTTAGTACGGGTACTGTCGGACCTCCAGTTCGCTGTTGCGAAATTGTTTTACGGGAATGGACTGAAGGTATGTGAATTGCCTTAGGATTTACGAAGTTACAGCACAACATTTTCACAAGTATAATGTGATAATTCGAATCCTTTTTGTGACTTTTTGAGGTGTTTTACAGAGGGTGTTTCTAAGTGTTGTTCTTTTGAGAGAACGAAATTTGGATTTTCTATTTTCAGGCGGGTACTCTCCCTTCAATGACCCACCACGGGGTGAAATTTTGATCACCGGTGAGAACGTATCGCCTGGATACTTTAAGCAACCGGAAAAAACTGCTGAAGAATTCATTATGTATAAGGTGCGTATACGATACCAGACTTTGAGAAAAAGTCACTTTTTCCCTGAATGGAGCGGATATGAACTAGACGGCGTGGATCTTTTCAGGGAAAGCGGTATTTCTGCACTGGAGACATTGGAGAGAAACGTGTAGATGGATCGTTGATCATAGTTGGTATGTGTTACCCTACCATTTGCTTGATTGACACGTGGGCATGATTTTTACTTGCAGTTGATTGTTTATCCATTTCGAAAGATCAGATCTTTCGAAGTTATGTTCGTTTTTTAGATCGGAAAAAGGATCTCGTGAAATTACAGCACGGTGAATACGTTTCTCTCGCAAAGGTACTGGAAGTTGCTTATGATGAATATGGACAACTTTCTTTGCTATCATTCTTTTGCATTTCAGGTAGAATGTGCTCTCCTCAACTGCCCCATCGTTGACAATGTCTGCGTATATGGATATGGTCTAGAGGCTAACACGATTGCTCTTGTTGTGCCAAATTTGAAACACCTGGAGAAGATTGCCGAAAAGGTTGTTCACAGCTAAACATATTTTGTATGAATTGGAACCCCTAGGCAGCGTTAAGAATTTGCGATAACGGGTGTTGACGCGCTGTAATTGTAATAGCGCTCCAATCTTAAAGATGCGAAGCAGCCGCAGACGGGAATCGGTACGCGCTGGTTGCTTGGGTCTTGAGGGAGAGTTAGGATAATAGGAGGGCAAGCGCTGCCTTCACACAATCTGGTGCATTCCCATTCTTCTATACTCCCCCGAGACCTTACAGCTGGAGCCGATCGATACCAGACTGGGCTGGTTAAAGGCACATTCCGCGATAAAATAAGGCTATGACCTCTCAAATGTGTCGGACGATCCGGAAGGCGATTTTTGAGGCTGCGCTACTTTCAAAATGTGAAAAACGGCAAGAACTCCGCTAGAAGCTGACTAATTAGGCCCATGGACACCCCTTAGGCCCATGCCGACCCTCACCGGCTGCTAGCTACTAGCTAGTAGCCACTATGTTATCTTTCTCTATAACATTTCGGACTGCTTTTTCTGCTGCTTTTCTCCGCTAATCAGATACTTAGCACTTTTTTGTGCCTATTTGAGTTCCGTTTCCCGCAATTTGCGGTCGCGAACTGTGCCTTTAAGCGGCCACTTTAGTACCCTCCTATGCCCCCACAGTCTATCAATACACGAGCGGCCGGCGCCGGTCGATTCTCGTCTGCGGCTGCTTTGCGTCTACAGGATTGCAGTGCTGTTGCAGTTGTAGACGCAAGCGCTCTCGCGCGACATCGCGAGAGTCTGAACGCTGAATTTAGTTGTTTGGGTGATCCTGGCAGACTTTTTGAGCTCAACATGGTTTCTGGGTGATCCTGGCAGACTTTTTGAGCTCAACATGGCTTCTCTTTCATAGAAATTCATAACATATTTTGAAGAGTCTCGCCAACTATGTTTTCAATGGCACGTAAAAGCATACTCTGTCTGTCAATGACGTTCATGCTTTGCGAACGAATCCGGGATCATTGGCTTCGAAAGATATACGATCTGGAAGAAGTGGCGGCAGAGGGCTGGATGGGAACAGACTCTTTCAAATCACCAACTCCCAAGTCGCGTTTCTTGGAAATGCTGTTAAGGGGAATTAGTTGAATCCTGTTTAACTCTCTGTCGTACTTCTCTCAAATTATGTATCATCTGGATTTAAGAGCACTACTGAATCACGCAGAACCTGGATCCGATATAGCTTTTTCATTCGCGTATTCTCTCGAATCGCGATTGTAGAAATAGCGTGATCTTCACATTCGCCAGGTGTGAACCTATAACGTACCTTTGTAACTAGTCCGCTGTACCGGCACCATCTCATTCTCATCGCTATATTTCTGAAGACATTGTGGGACCGGGATGACCATCACCCCACTTGCAGGTGCTGTGACTCGTGGTGTGATCAGATTTTTTTAGTATACGAAAAGTGAGAGCAATTCTGCTGCCGTCTTCTACACTGTATAGAACGAATTACTGGGGGAACTGGGCCGAATATGTTCCTCTGTCTTGGTTCTCCTGTGAGCGTCTGTTCAATCCTTCTAACTTTGTCTAATGGCCGAGCGGTCTTCCTTCGTACCCGCGATCCTTGCAGTAATCTTTTGTGTAGTGTTCTTCTTCGATCTCACCTTAAAGACAATTATCGCGATCAAGTATTGCGGGCAATTGTACTCTGTCATGCACCAGTATTCCATAGTTAGCTTCTCAGTAGAAAAAGAAGCAGAAAAATCTTCGGGAACACCTTGAACCCAAACCTACCTTTAGCAGTGGGGGCGGGGCCTGGACGAGTGTGCCGGGCGTGGCTGCCAGAATTCGATGCGGCAGCCGCAATTGCGTCCCAACTTTCGAAATAGGATACTTTCGATACTCGATATCTACTAAGAACAGTTTCGAAAGAAATTAATGCGATAATCCCCACTCGAAGTCATATTGTCGTCAAAAGAAAGCGAAATGACAACAAACCCCACTTGACAACAAATCTCCCTACCATTGGAAAAGCAAGCACTACATTCCATAAGCAAAAAAAACTCTAATGGTTCCGCACTTTCACACATGTTTACAAGCCTGACCGAAGTAAGACCTTTAGCTGAGCTATGAGCCAACTTTGGCAAAATGCCAGTGGGACCGCGGGCTTAAAGGGACCGCGCTTTAAAGGATGAGCACAGAAGGAGGATATTGCAAAATGCTTAGTTTCCGTCTAAGGGCACGTGCGAAACGGAAACTAGGCTACTTCTTTGAGTCAGCCCCCTCAAAACTAGATAAGAAAGATGTATTAATGATTCTACCGATCGAAATACTATAAAATCTTATTCATCATTATTAAAGGGACGGATGCAGTTCGGGACCAGACGCCTCGTCCACCTACCGTCTCCGTGAGCCTAGCGAGCCTTGTCGAAATTGCGATAACTTCCTCATCGCGCGCCATTGATGGATAAAAGCGGGATCATCTTCATCAAGGCGCAGAGGGTTCCAGAAGGCGCGAAGTCATTTTGAAGGCCTCTCGAGCGCGGATACTGTCTTTAACATAGATGCTTCTGCTTGAGAACGCACGCTTACTTCAAGCTCATGCCGTCATTTCATTCTGTCTCACGCCAAACTGTGCTTTGCAGTGATGGCAAAACTGCCAAAACGCTAGCGAAATGCTCTCAAGTGTAATGGTGGATACATTCAATCTTGTATTTGTCTGGGCAATAAGAAAGTTTCTAGAAATTTGTTTTTCAAAACCTCCCCTTTGACGTGGTGTTTTTGTGCATAATTTCAGTGAAGTACTACATTTTAGGTTGGAGAAACGTCACGAGACCTCAAAGTTATGTGCAGGAATGAACAAATAGAAGCTGAGTATCTCAGGCAACTCAACGAGCACGCCAAGAAAAGTAAGTTGCTGCGCTTGCAAATTTGGTAGTAGAAAACCAGAGAGATTAAAAAAATCAGGGCGCTAGTTTTTCTAGGGCGAGGCCAATATGATACCACCGTTCCCACGCCATTTCATCTTTTTTTCTTCTGGACGAAATGTAGCTCTGAGATATGATTTTCGCTCAAGCAAATCGGTTGGAATGAAAGGAGCTTCGGGATGAACGTATACCTCTATACGAAGAGGGATTTTCGCGTTTTATAAGAAGGGGCTCATACTTTGGGCTGGCTTTCCACTACCCATCCCCCTCTCGCACTGTCAATGAAGTGTCATGAGGCATCGTGAGACGTCCTAACACGTGGCGAACTGCGAGCCTATTTTGGAACTAGCGCCCAGATTAGCTGTAGGTGGAGTTTGTCAAGCACTATCAAGGCTCTAGAGGATCTTTCTGACTACTGTGCTCTGTTAATTACACCTCATACCGTGGATACAGTTCAACCAAGATGGCTACTCTGTGCAGCTGTAGTTGTTACAAAATTTTTCCCATGTATTTGCTTTTTGTTGATTGGAGTCAAGGTACAACATCGTTGCGGTAAACCCATCAGGGTGAGGGGGGGGACTATTTGATCGCCTGTAGATGGGATCGTATTTATTGGGCATGGGGTGCCGAGAGCGCAGGTATAGTCGTTTCTGCCGCAGACGCTATGGCGCGTCAGAAGTAAGGTATCGCGGAGCTGTAGCCCGCTCCATCAGCTGTTGTCGCTTGATCGCTCCAACTATCGGTGGGAGCAGGATGGCACAACGCCAAACCCTGCTCCTGGTGCGCCCCATCGTCTGTAGGGAAGACAACTCTAGGTTGTGCAACGGAGTCGTACCGAGACTTTCCTTTGAGCAGTGGAACTGGCATGGCTGGAGGTTGGCTTTGTGGTGACTGGGAAAACTCTGCAAAGCCTCCCAACTACAGCCGTGGTTATGGTGGTAACGGTGCTTGGGCGTGTTATAAAGGGATCTTCTACGCTTGCAGGTTTTTGATTTTCGCATTTGATTTTACGCCCATGCGGGATAAGGTGGAGCAAACCTAAACTTATAGCTCTGGTCTGAACATTGCAATGAGGTTGATTCCACTGTTAATGTTTCTTTTTAAGGTAAACTAACGAAAGTAGAGATGCCAGTTGCCATACATTTGTGTGAGGAAATCTGGACGCCCGATAGCGGCCTCCTCACGGAAGCACTCAAATTGAAGCGAAAGCCCCTACAGTTGAAGTACCAAACAGTGATTGACAACATGTACGACAAACTTCGTTTAGCACAGTAATATTTGTACTATGTTACCCTATGGTTGTATGGAGGGCGATTGTGTGCTGCAAGCAAATCTCTCTACGAACTAGGGCAGCGTTCAGAGCTCGCGACGGCAGCGCTTCGGTCGCGCGATTCGAATCGATGCGCATGCTTCGGCTGCACCGATTCGAACGCGCGTCCGAAGCGCTGTCGTCGCGTCGAACGCACTACCGAAGCGTTGCCGTCGCGAAGTCTGAACGTTACCTAAGATTGTTAGTCAGCGATTTGCTTGCTCTACCCAATCGACTTCTTGGAGTCCGTGAAGGCATTGTTTTAGTTTTCATTGTTCCGAATATTCTCATCAGAATCACAAAAGCTTTCATCAAAGAATGAGCATGTTTTATTGGACAACTCACTAGGTTTGTGTGGTAGCGCGCACAGCATAATAAGTCGTCGCTTAACTTTCCATTGATGTTCATTTCGGCCTTTAACTAGACGAGTATACATCGCTTGCGGATTTGATGCTGCTTTTCATTTTTTTCTAGACGCAAATTGAAATTTTCGTGAGAAAAAAAATCCATAAGCGATGTGTCATCATTGCTGGTGCGATGCATCTCGCCTTCCTCATCTCTTTTCCTCGGTTTTCATGCTGTCTTAGATTAATGATTGTGCAGACTGTCTCTTAAAATTTGCCAGGTAGCGAATCGATCGGCAACGATTTTGTTGAATTTTGCTGATTACTTTGTGCTAAATGGGACTTTTGTATTCGTTTGTCCATTAGGCCAATCAATCGTGCATCTCTTCTATGCAGCTATTTTCATAGAAATTTTGTTCGACTGGTTTCTATGCTCATTATTATTGTTGCCCGGTATAGAATCCA